AGGCTGGCCTCGAACTCACAGAGATCCACCTGCCTCTGCCTCCCGAGTGCTGGGATTAAAGGCGTGCGCCACCACCGCCCGGCGCAGCCAGTGTTCTTAACAGCTGAGCCATCTCACCAGGCCCTCCCTAAGGTTTTTGTTTGTTTGCTTATTTTTTAGACAATTGACAATCATGTTTTCTATTGCTATCATTTAAATTCAGGATTCAAAAATATAAAGAGGCTAGTGCTGTAGGCCTGTAATCCTAACTACTCAGGAGGTAGAGGCAGGGAGATGCCATCAGAAGCTGACTGAGGTAGTTTAGCTAAGATGTAACTCTATGGTAGTGTGATGTAATACAATGGACAAGCCCCTGCCTATATCCACAAGGCTATGGGTTCAATCTCCATCACCACACACAACTTTTATTTTGTATTTAAAGATTTATTAGTTTTATTTATGTGCACGTGTGTGAGGCTGTGTGAGTTTATGGGTACCACATGTATATACAAGTGCCCACGGAGACTAGAGGGCATCAGAACAGGCGGTGAGTCCACGGATGGTGGGTGCTGGCAACAGAACCCAGGTTCTCTGCAAGAGTCGTAAGAGCCGTTAAATGCAAACAAGCCGGGCGGTGGTGGTGGCGGCGGCGGCGGTGGCCTACCCCTTAGGCAAGCTGATCTTTGAGTATGAGGCCAATCTCGTCTACAGAGCTAGTTCCAGGACAGCCAGGACTGCACAGAGCAACCCTATCATAAAAATAAAATTAAAAAAATAAATAAAACAAAAACAAACCAAACTCCACAACTGTTAAATGCTGAGCAATGCCCCCACCCCCCTTTACACCATTTTTAAAAGGCCATGGAAGTGTCTCCTATCTTTAGACACTAGAAAAGTCCAGTCCAGCTCCCTTGTTTTGTTCAGTGAATTTTCACCTTAGTCTCTAGAGGTTTGGGTTAAGTTTCCAGGCCAAAGGCTGTCCCTTTATCATATTTTAGGAAAATTGCTCAACTTCTTCACCTGCCCAGGGTACTAGGTCCCTACCCACACATTAACCTCTTCTAAAAATTCCAGACTTGTTTCCAACGTGCCGAAACAGCTGAGCTTTGTGCTTAGAGGGAGGAAAAAATAGTAATAATGAAGTTGGAGAGCTTATTAAAATCTTAAAAGTGAGTTTTCTCCATAAACGGCAGTGCACCAACGGTAGGAACATATTTATAGGCTTTATTGGCTCCTCACTTCTGTTTTTCCCTTTTCTTAGTTGAGGCAAATATAATTGAGCTCCTGATGTGTAAAGTTGGCGGCTGGCAACCTCCAGAACTCAAGGGGAGACCCGGAACGAACAGCGCCGGAGAAGGCAAGAAAAGCCAGGTAGCCTGTGGAAAAGATCGTTCATTTGGAAGTCTTCAAAAACGGTGAATTTTAATTTTTTTTTTCCGTTGTTTGGTTTTAGTTTTCTTTCCGCGATCTCCAGATGTTTCTGGGAAATGCTTACTTGAGTTCCGATGTGTAGAGAAATGTCAGTGCCCACACACTTTCTTGTTGAATATAAACAGTCCTGGGAGGCACCCCCATTCCCCTGCCCCACACCCAACACACAATACACCACTAAAAAGGCAAACCCTCTGCCCCAGACATTTAGTGCACTGAGCCACCTGCCCCCATGCAGTGGGGTGCACAATGGAACCTTTTGGGGAGTTTCTGCTTACACCCTGGTCTGGCAGTTACTTTTTAACCATGCTGATCACCAGACTTAGTAAAGATAGTATAAGAGAGGTTTTCATTGCTATGGTAGCAGAGGCCAATACCATTATTTTGTTTTATTAGTAAATAAAGCCACGCATGCGTGTCTCGAATCCCAACATCAGGAGGACAGAAGCATGTGGATCTTAGTGAATTCAAGGATAGCCTGATTTGTATAGTGAAACCCTGTCTCAAGAAGAAGAAGGAGAAGAGTGAGATATATATAAATTTATCCTAGCCTGATGAGACGATTTGGCAGGTAAAGGCGCCAGTTGCCAAGCCTACCAACCTATCAATCATTCCCCAGGACTCACCTGGTGGAAGGAGGGTACTAACTCCCCCAAGTTTATCTTTTGCCCTCTATAAAAGTGCAGTGGCAGGAATTCTCACATACATACACACAAATATATAAATAAATATATTTAAAAAAAGTAAATTTATACCGTCTTTAGGTACAAACTAAGAAAACGACTCTGGGTTTAACTTGCAACCCTTTAGAAGGCATGAGTAAACTATCAAGGTTCGTTAGACAGAACTGGGACCCTCACCTCCAGCCAGAATGCCAGAGTCTGAATGGCCAGGGCTTTGGAAGACAGATGTTTGGAAGACACAG